TTCCTCATATATGAAAACTAAATATAATTAAATAATCAAAGTTCTTTCAATTCTCTTGGCGAAACCTTGACGTAACTATTAAGGGGAAATCTGATTAAGCGGATCACATGATTCTCTCCTCTGAAGCCAAATAGCTCTGGCTTCAGAGTCTTAGAAGAATATGGCAAGACAAGAAGAATCTGTTGTTCCTCAGTGTTTTTGATTTTCCCCAATAGGTCATTAGCAACCCAGTTGGTTCTCCATTGCCCTAAAGATGTAATTTTAATTGGTTAACATTAATACTAGGTATTTTCTTAAGGCTTAATAAGTGTTAAATGGACTATTAGGCTTTGATTGGATATAAAACTTGCTAAGAAAAATAAAACATTATTTTAACCATTTCTGTCTATTATTCACTTAAGTATACTTTTTTTCCCCTCTGTAATACAGCAAACTTCCCATTATCCAGGCACCTGGCAGAGCTACTGTTGTTAGATTTTTGACAGCTTTTTCATTACAGGCCCTGTTTTTCAAGAGGCAGGTTAACTAAGCGATTTTGATTTGTGCCAAGCTGAGATGTGGAATAGACACTTGAAGTCCATTCTCTTGTTTTCATAAGATTTCATTTGAACTTATTTGTCCTTCTTGATCTAAACACACAAAGGGAAAAAAAACATACTAAAATTCATCCAGTTTCTCATTCATGAATTGGTATAACTGAGCAAAAAAATAGTAAGTTCTGTAGTTTTTCTTTTTCTTTTTTAATTCAATGTTTAAAAAAATTAAAAACAAAATTTCATACCTTATTAAGAAAAGTATTAATACCCAATTGTTTTACATATATGAGATAATGGTAAGGCCTTTTTATAAAACATGACAGCAATGTTAACATTTTTATTTTAGAAGTGTGACATACTCATTTTAAAACAATAACTTTCTCATTATAAAAAATTACTCATATTTCCTGTAGAGAAATTATAAAATGCAGATAAGAAAGAGAAATATTTAAAATCATCCTACCAGTTAAGATCATATTGAATTTCAATCTCTATGTCTAGTCTCTGATTCTTTCCCTGCAGTTTTAGAATCTTCTAGAAAGCATTCTGATGACCACTTCACCCCTTCCACATAGAGGTACTATGCTGTAATCATCTATTCCTGATGTTCCAATATTCTTTCCACCCTCTTCATAAGCTTTTCTAATGATGGTATAAAATGAAGGTTAGCCAGTATTCCATTTGCCAAGATTATTCTAAGGCAGAGGAGTGGTCTTAACATCAATTTTTGAAAGTATGTAAATATTTTGTTACCTGATATTTAAATGTACTTAATAACCTAAGATGTATTTCTAGACATGAAACTCACTTAGAATCAATGGACAGTAGATTTCTGGATCATTAATAAATGTGAAAAATTAAAATAGCATTTAACTCATTGTAATGCCATCACATATTTTCTATCTATACAATTCCATGTGGTCTGGCATCCACTTCATTACTTCAATACTTTACTAAAATGTTTCTCTTGAAGTTTGCATAAGCCTGTTTATCATCATCCAAGTACCATTTTCTCCATCTTTCTTGTCCTTGCTGTTTGGGGTATGTTTTGCGTCTAAAAATCTTCTCCTAATTTGGATTCCAAAATGTTCCCTAATTTTTGTTCTCTTCTTACATTTGCAACTAATCTCTATCTCTTGCCTTCACTTTCACTTGTTCTTCCTTTAGTTTGCTTTCATTTGCATTGCTTTCATTTATAAACAGTAAAATGGCCAACTGACAGTGGCATAAACTATAAGGATTATTTATGGTTTGTTTAACCAGGAGTCCGGAGGTTGGCAGTCTCAGGGCTGTTTTGGTGACTCAAACAGGAAATCAGAGAATCTAGATATTTTTTCATCCTTCTGTTCTGTCATTATCTGTCTGTTAGCAATCTCTTGTCTCCTAGTCACGCCACGACCATCCAGCTATAAGAAGGCAGGAGGCTGGAGTAAAAAGACTTTTCTGCTCCTAGACTTCTGTCCTTTAATAAGGAAACATATTTCTCAGAAATCTCTTTACAGTTTATTGGTTAGAAACAGGCCTTATGCCTACCCCCACACTATTTAATGGGGAAGAAAAAAAAATGATTGCCATGACTGGCCTAGACAAATTGTGATTCACCCCCTGGTGTTGGCACAATGCTCCCCCCAAAACAATCAGTCTTAGGTAGCGAGGAACAAGAGCAGATGGCCATGGAGTAGGCAACTGACAGAAGCAGCTCTGTTTACCTATCAGCTATGGCTGCTTCTTAAGACTCAGTCTTTTCCTCTCTATGACTCAAAGTCTCTGAGGTTCCATTTATCTTATGCCCAGAAGGGCATGTTGTGAAAAACAACTGGTATATGAAAGTGTCGTATAAATAAAGGTCTTTATTGTCCTAGTAAATATACCATATTTTCCCCAAAAGGCTCACAATTTTATTTTATTTATATGTATATGTATATGTATATGTACATGTATATATATATAGGTGTGTGTACTAAGGACCAAATCATGCTAATCCTTTTTGCAAAGTTTTTCTTCACCATCTTTCCATTCACTGTCCGCCTATTCTGGTCTCAAGCATCTGAAACCTTTACCATTGTGGCTGAGTTCTCTTTCTCCTATCACTTGTCTCTTGCTTCTATTTGTTTGTCTCCTCTGGTTTGATGTTCTCCAATGTATATATAGGTGTGTCTACTAAGGACCAAATCATGCTATTCCTTTTTGCAAAGTTTTTCTTCACCATCTTTCCATTCACTGTCCGCCTATTCTGGTCTCAATCATCTGAAACCTTTACCATTGTGGCTGCGTTCTCTTTCTCCTATCACCTGTCTCTTGCTTCTATTTGTTTGTCTCCTCTGGTTTGATGTTCTCCAGTGTTCTAACTTTTATCTTATTACATGCAATATAAACATTACCACTGAAGTTCAGGTCTTTTAACATTTCTGTCTATACCAAATGCCAATTTCTTAAAATGAGTTCTCTTCTTTCTAGTCAGGCCTCTTCTATGAATTTCTAAGACATTCAATGCTCATTTTAATACATCATCTAGAATCCGCTGCTGCTCTTAGCTGACATGTGTTTTGCACATCATTTCAAACAGTGCTACATTACCCAACAAGTAGACCAAGAAGGATTTGAGAGCACCGGTAAAGCAAATTATTTAGAGTTCACAATCCTACCCTAAATTGTTTCACCCTCCTGAGATTAAACTAATCTATTTATGCTTTAGTTATAATTATTTCCATATACTAGTCTTGCCACAAATACTAAGGACATTTTATAAGCATAGAGACTATGTGCAATAACCCAATGCTGTATAGTTGTACAGAATGCTCATTAAATACTTAATGATTGACTGAATTTTAAACAATTTAAACCACATATACTATGCTTTGCCCGTTCTTCCTTTACCTCAAATGTCCTTTTTATTGCATTATCTGCTATGTACTACTAGGGTCAGGGTAAATTATGAGTCCTAGTGTGAAATAATAGAATAACTTATATGTGTAATTGCCCCCTTCCTCTGGGTTGCATAATCCAGATCACATGACTATGATAGAAACAGAAGTTTGAAGGAGGTCATGTCAAATATCATAGAAATATTGACTTGGCTACAGCAATATCTAATCCAGCAGCACAATTATAATGAAGGCAAAAATTATGCTAAAATTTTAAGAGAAAAAACATGTATTGTGACTGTTGTTTTCCAAGACATGTTTAGATATGAACATGTGAAGGACAAGTCCCTTTGTAAATAAGACAACATTTTTAAAGGATTTGCATTGCTTAAATGAAGTTGGATCTTAAATTTGAGAGTCTTTTTGGTGGATTAAGAGAGGAGGGATTTATTAAAGAGAGGAAGGAAAGTACCTAATGTGTTATGATGATGAAGATGATTATGACTGATAGTGATAAAAAATAGAATGACTTAAATTCCATGAGTCATTCCGGTCATCAACAGCCATTATCCAAAAGTATCTTTATTTGTAGCTTTATAGGTGAGCTGCATAAAACTGGACACTATTCTATATTAATTTCTGAATAATATGCTGGACTAGTATACATATGGCCACACAAGTGAGTATGCATTACCTTTCTTTTTTTTTTTCCGTCTTGGATTTAACTACCTTAGTAGTTGCAGGTACTTTGGGTTTCAACACAGACTTACCCCTAGCAGAGTTCAGTGTGTTCATTAAAATAAGAAAGTCAATGGAAATTAGCCAGCCCTGAGTTTTCACTTCTATTTCATTTCACAGAACTTGAGTGTAAGACAAGAAGAAGAAAATGAATTGGTTTTCCACTTGAGAATTCTGGTAACTTGGAAAAAGTGTTAAGTCTAGCAGGTAAGATCATTTGGGGAGAGAGAAAGGAGGTATCACGTCTTTCCCCAATATCTTCCATCAGGCATCCCACTGACACTCCTCCCCCCTCCCCCGCTCTCATTTTCCCATTGCTTCTGTGCTCTGGTTTGTCTTCTTAGCCTCCTTGTTCCTCTATACGCTGGAAACCTAAACAGTTATTTCTGATGCAAGATTATGGAACATTTGAAATTAAAACGGGGGAAATTTTTGAGCCCAGAATCAAATATTAAAAAATAAAAAAAATCCTTCTGGTCTCTGATGTGTGCACGAACTATCTGTTCTTAGAAAATAAAAATAAACAAAGCCAAACCGAAATTAGACAATTAATTAGACCGGTGATTGTGCTCTGCTATTGAAGGGTTCCCCTATATGTTTATCTCTACTCTGGCTTTGTGTTTCAGTAGGTCATGAATATATTAAGAGCAACAATTGAAATAGCACTGCTCTTTACGCCCACAAAAATATAGTTTAATAACATATGAGTCAACGACTTAAAAACATTGTTTCTAGATTGATTACATTGTTTCTAGTTATTAAAGGTAGCATTTTGGATCAATATGAAGGATGTGAACTGATGAGAAAACAGGAACGTTGTCCATCCCCCCCACCCCCGCCTCTTTTTTCTTCTACCAAGTAGAAATAGATCCAGTCCAGGTTTTGCCTTCGACTCAGCCTCTGATTTCGGCTGTGCTCTGTGTAGCACGTTTCTCCCTCTCCCCTCCTTTCTCCTTCCCTCTTGCCTCCAGGATTTCTGTCTTCCTATTTCTGGAGGACTCTCACAGGCTCCTTCGGTCTGTATGAAGCTGAGGTTTCCCCTGAAACCCGTACATCCCCAACACATACCTCCACGCACACACATCCCCAAGAAGCCCGCGCTCACACGGACACACACGCGCGCACACACACTCACGCTCGCCTGTCCACCTCCCTCTCGGGAGTGCCGGCGCGCGTTCCCACCTTCGCTGCACACTTCGGCGAGCCGAGCTCCCAGCGCTCTAGGATTCTGAGGCTCGGAACTCGGATCGCAGCTCTGAAACCCCATGGTGGTTTTTGAAACATTTCTTTTCCTTCTCTTTCCCGTTTTTATTGCACCGTTTTCGATCTGGGGGGCTAGAGGAGCAAGCGGCTGCTTTCCCAACCAGCCCTGGTTGGCTTGCCATCCTCCATCTGGCTTATAAAAGTTTGCTGAGCGCAGTCCAGAGGGCTGCGCTGCTCGTCCCCTCGGCTGGCGGAAGGGGGTGACGCTGGGCAGCGGCGAGGAGCGCGCCGCTGGCTCTGGCGGGCTTTCGGCTTGAGGGGCAAGGTGAAGAGCGCACGGGCCGTGGGGTTCACCGAGCTGGATTTGCATGTTGCACCATGCCTTCTTGGATCGGGGCTGTGATTCTTCCCCTCTCCGGGCTGCTGCTGTCACTCCCGGCCCGGGCGGATGTGAAGGCGCGGAGCTGCGGCGAGGTCCGCCAGGCGTACGGTGCCAAAGGATTCAGCCTGGCGGACATTCCTTATCAGGAGATCGCAGGTAAGCGCGGGCGCGCGGCCGGGGCAGGCTGCAGCCCTCCGCGGCCGCACGTCCCACTGGGCCGCCCGGCGCCCTCCGCCTTCCCCCTGTTGCTGAGTTGCTGGTGTTCACTTTCGGTCAGGGCTCTCCATGACGCCGCACCTCTGCGCTGGACCGCGGATGCTCCCGCGGCTGCTCCCGCGGGGGAAGGTGTGCGTCTCAGCTGCCTCATTGTGTGCACACGCGGGAGCGCCCGCCTTCCCTCCCTCCTTGCTTCTCTGCTCTCGCGCCCTTGCGCCCCCTTGGTTGTTGGCTCCCGCCGGGCGGGCCCGGGAGCCCAGGACATTCCCGGGTGGCCGCAGCGCGAGGGCAGATCGCCCAGCGAGGCGCCCACTCCGCGCCTCTCGCTCGGGCAAACTTGGGAGAACTGTGGCCGCAGTTTGCTCAGCGCCACAGTCTGAGTGGCGCCTTCTCCACTCCCGCGCTTGCGCTGGCGGGGGCGGTGGAGAGACGCGGAGGGCTCCCCTAGCCCCTTGATCCATTTTCTCCGGTTCGGGGAGGCAGAGCGTGCGGCGTCCCGGCCGGGGGCGGGCGAGGTTGGGGGACCCCCCACCGGTGGACTCGGCCTCCCCATGTCCGCAGTTCCGGGCTGGTTTGGGGAGTTCAAGGGCTGCCTGTTTCAGATTTGGGGCGGGCTTTCCTGATACGGTTCCTCAGTGCTTCCCCGATTGCTAGCTGTTGGTCACTTCTGGTTGGGGGGACATCCCAGCCACCCGGCGCAGCGGCCTCGTCCGCCGGTTCTAGGCAGCTGAGCCAACTTAAGCTCAGTAGTGACTCGGTAGTGGATTGGTCTCAGGGTCCGTGGACCTCGTGTCCCCCGCGTGCCTCGCCACTAGCATTCTTCCACGGAGAGCTCTTAAGCCCCCACCCGCTCTCTCGGCGCCAGTGTGTGGGTAGCGCTTGGACTCCAACAACTTGCGAAGCAGCCAGGGTGCGTGTTTTCCGGCTCTTTGCTCCAACCGAATCCGAGTTTCTCTGTGGCTCTGTGAATGAAACGTGTCGGGCAGAGATAATCCTGTAGCTGCGAGAGAACAGAACCGAGAGAGGCTTAGAGAGGCCAGGAGATGCTGGGAGGGCGCGGGCTGCTCATAACCGGCAGCTGAAGTCCTCAATGACCTCAGGTGGTCGAGTCAAAACGCTGAATTTCCACCAGTCTCTGCGTTTTGCCAAAGAGCTGGTGGACAGATGAAAAGCTTTTTACAGATTTTTGAAAGATCACAGTTTCGCTACATAGTAGAATTGCTGTTTTATTACGGTTGATTTACAAACTCTACAAGTGAGGGTTTTTACTTATATTGAAATGAACTCATTTATATCAATTCAAGTATTGAAAAAAATAGCTCACACATCACGCTATAACAGCTTTATATACAGAGAGCTTTTTTCAATTCTGAGCCAGACATAGCCAGCCTCTCGTGAGTCCAAGGCGGAACCTGCGGTGAATTATAAGACTACTTTTCTAAACCTGTCACTTCTCCCTTTTCCAGAACTCCTTATTTTGTTAATCGGTGAATAGAGACCAGCTGCCCCTACAGCTCCTTAAGTTTCTTAACGCTCCTTCCCTTTTTGTCTACTGTTATTTTATTCTTTTTAATTAATTGATAAGGATCAGCTTTGCGTTTTTTCCCTCCTCAAATCTCAGGGAACTCAACTTTTAAAAGGTTTGTAGCATGGATCCCTTCTTTTAGAAACTTTTACTCCTCTAATCTGGGCTTTTTCAAACTGAATCTTTTAAACACACAGATATTTCCCAACATGATTTCAGATAAGATATCTCAAAGAAGGAAATTAAGTATTTTTCAATTGCTTCAGTAATTTTTAGTAGATAATGGGACTTCCTGAAGACTACGGTTCGTGCTTACCATGATGCAAATCTCCTTAATATCAAGGTGAAAGTTTTCAGTTTAAAGATTTCTGTAGTTACATTTGCTTACCTGAGAAAGTAAATTTGCAGAGGTTAAAATAAATTCTTCAGCAGATTTTTAACTACAGGTTTTTTTTCCTCTTTTGTTTTTTTGCCTTTTCCCTCCACCCCTTGACAATTACAGTGCTTGTTAAATAGCTATGAATTTTTAAAATGTGTGCAGTTTTGTTAAACTCACTTTCTAGGACTAAGGGTACTATTGACTTTGCCATAACCCTGGTGTCCTTTGAAGCTGATGGAAATTATCAAGATACAGGTCACTGTGTGGTTACAAGCACATCTGATAAGAAAATAAATGAATCGTAAGATAATTACATAATAAAGACACTTTTTTTCAAAGTCTGCGTTACTCAGTGCTACCTATTACTGTTGAAATCATCACTTAGGAAATATGTCCCTTTATTAAATAAACATAGTCTTCCTCTCCTCCCTAGTTCCTGATAACAATTTACATGTAATTATCTAATATATGGTGATTTTCCTTTCTTCAAACTTCTTTTCATCCTTTACCTTGTTTGGACTTTTAATGGTTTGCTTGAGAAATGGCATATGCCATTCATCTGCTAGTGAACCTCAACTTAAAGGAACTGCTGTTCAGAATTTAGATTCATGAGATCTGTTTCTCATTGAAAGATATTTGCAGGTAGCTTGCCTGATAAAATAACTGAAAAGTAATAAGGACATTATGTTTCATCATGACATTATTAAAGTTTTACTCAGAACTCACAATTGTGAAATAGTGTTGCCCTTTTCTATTCTAGGATAAAAGGGAGTTCTTCAGACTCAACAGATGAAGAACTGTGATGGGTAATATATAAAGTTACACTCTCAGGGAGTGCTTGGGAAGGAGGAGGCCTTCAAGAGGGAGTTTGCACCATTAATCTTCACTCAGCCTTGATTTTAAAGCATCCCAGGCAGATCAGATAGACTATCTGTTCTTGTTTGAAAGACCTCCAAAGGGGTAGACTCTTGAGTCCCTCTCAGCAATCCATTCTAATACTTCAGTAATTTTTGTGGTATCAAAATGTTTCCAGATATCTAGCCAAAAGCCTTCACAGTGTGCTTGCTTATTTTCTCTTATTCTATCTTCTGGGAAGATATCGAGCGGTGGATTATCAAGTTTTTTGTAGGACTGTTATTCTGATCAAAGATCATCCTTTCTTTGAGCATCAGTAATATTATCTCATTTTCCAACCCGACTCATCTTGAAGGCTCTGAACTTCTAAAGGGACTCCATAGCTGAAAAGAGCTTCTGCTTAAAAGTATGGACAATTCAGGAAATGTTGTTTGAGGCTTACTGTGCCACTGTTTTATGCTTTGAGCTTTCTTGGAGTCATTTATTATAATACTTTGTAGCTAACTAGTGGTAACTTTGGTCTACCTGTTCAGTGTTTTCATTAATTACCAAATACAACTTTATTTAACAACCTCTTATATAGAAATTACTATATGCCCGACACCTATTTGAAAACATTACTTAGTTTTAAAGCATTAAACGTTGCCTTATTGACTCCTTCTAATAACTAGTAGATGCTTTCATTCTCCCCATTTTATAGATGAAAAGACTGAGCAACAGAGAAACTTAAATAACTTAAATAATTGCCCAAGAATGACTCCGCAAAACAAGAGGCTAGAATTCAGATCCAGGCACTATGAGTCCCTAGACTTAATCATGCCCATTCCCATTATGTATTCATTAAATGAATGCATGTAAAATTAGTTCTTTTCTCATCTAATAGTATATATAGCTTGGTATTGTCACCATATGTTTTCCCTCAAAATTCATGCTGAATATTTTTTATTTACTTGCAACATCTACAGTTCTTAAAAATCATTTGACTTTGGATTTTATGTTCTCAGGAATTGGCCACTCTACCACCACTAAACTGTGTACTTATTTTCCCAATCATTTTGTTTTTATAGATGTGGTTATATAAGAGGTGGAAACTAAAGAACATGTCCACCTCCTCCTCCCCGCCGCCGCCCAAATACTGGGCCTACTGAAATATTAGGTTAATCCAACAAAGTTTATTATAAGAAGTTATCATGGGGACAAAAGGAGGAGGGAATTTTCTCTCCACAGATTAGGAAAAAAATATAAAACTAACTGTTCTCAATATTCAGTTTGCTGCTTCTGTCTCAGGTATTTTGAGAGTTAGACTACAGCTAGATATTAAGAAAATATTAAATTCTTCATCTCCTTGATATCAGTTCATCTCAAAAATCAAAAAAATCTTAAAGTCTAAAATTAAAAATAAAGAACTTATACTCTGTTGATATATTAGACATGTTTTTAGTCCTTCTTTATTGGTTTTATATTTGAAAATATGTAATGCTTCATTTTACCTGGCTTTTGTCCAACAGTTCTTTTCTTTCTTTGGTGGGCTTCCCAGGGAAACTGTCGCTCCAACTTAGTTAATACATTTGCCATTAAAACAAATCTTTTTTACCCTCAGTTTTCATGCAGCTATCGCCTTATTATAAATGGAAAAATAGTTTTTGATAACTCTCACTTTTTTTACAGAGATATTAAATATTCTAGTTGGGGATGAATTACTTAATTTCCATTTATCTCCCTGCTTCACAGATTTCTGATTTTCTTGCCCTCTGTTTAGTTGGCTGATACTCTAAAATAATTTGAAAAACAGTGTGAGGTATAAATGAGTTAGTTGAACTTCAAATTTTTTAAAAAAATCATTTGTCAAGTCACTAGATTTCTAAAAGAATCACATTAATTCCAGTTATCAAAGCAATCTAAAATCAGGGCTATTAGGAGTGCCACTTGTTAAACTCTTAATTTGGGAATTAATTTTAGAATGATCCTTGCAAACAGAGTTATCTTAGCTGATTTAATTAGAGGATAATATGTCATTGAGAACAAGAGTTCATTTGAGTTGACTGGTATATTTTTTACATAAAACTCACATCTTTAAATTGCATTACATCTTAATAACTTGTGAGTAGAAATGTAGACCACTACCAAAAGTGATTTAAAATATTCAGCATTATGTTCTTTAAAATATTATAGTGTAAACAT